TGTTCATTAATTAAACAACCCCTGTTGTTGTACCTAATTATTTCCATCTGTTGTAAGACACCCAGACGTAGTCCTTTTTCACAAAAGTGTAAGATTTCATAAGAATGGGAATCTGGTAAAATATGATTTGTTTCTAACAAATGTTTAGCGAAATTGGACCTGTCTGGATGCTTATGCCTAATCGAAGAAACATGCTCTTTATATCTAGTTATAAAGTTACGCCCTGTTTGACCTATATATACACTGTTACATATGTCACAGGTGAGCTTATAAACTCCCGACTTCTTACCACTTTCCACTCTTTCCTTGCCATTGTAAAGCCTAGAGAGCAAAGTGTTATTTGTCTTAAAAGCAACATTTATATCATTGGATTTCAAAATTTTATAAATCTTTTCTGACAAATGGCCAACATAAGTAATGCTTGCTTTATATTTATTAATAGGCTGTGAAGGAACCGCAGTATACAATATCTTGTTGACTATCCGCCTGTCTGTGAACTAAGCTATTAATTAACGTTTTACTGTAACCGTTAGAAAGTGCAATCAGATAAACAATATTTAACTCTAAATTATAATGTTTTTTAAAAAGAGGGACTGTCAGCAACCTATGTATTACACTATATAATCTCTGTACAGAGTACTAAAAAAACCGACCTCAAAAGTAAGTGGAATTACGTCTATTTGCTAAGTTTTATTGAAATATCCCCTAGTTCGCCACTGTACAGGACTTGACCGTGGAGATAATAAAAATCGGTTCTCACTACTCAAAGTATATTGAGAGAAAAACGCCTTGAATTGGAGAAATAGCAAAATCAACCATTAAAGTAATTGCTCCTAAATTAAAGTTAGGCGCTATTTATAAAAATGAATCTTCATGCGTGAACAGCCATCCTTCGAGGTGGATGCTTTTCTTCAAAATGAAATGGGACCAATATGGAAGTACCCCCTTTCCAACAAAAAAAGAATCATGAAAATCGATTCACAAATACCGGAGTTATCGCGTAACACACAGACGAATTGAGAACCTCCTCCTTTTTTGAAGTCGTTTAAAAAGCCATTTTATGTGTCAGGGGTGACAAGAAGAAGCCGGGATAACTGTATCTGTATGCGTAAGCTTATGGTAAATTTGAAAAACCTAAGAAATTGAGAGAGTTGTTTTGTTCTAATTCTTTTTTAAACTTAATTTTTGGGTGTGTGTTGTTAAGGTCGTTTACAAAATTGTCCAGCTGTCTCATACTACCCGTCCAACAAAATATCAAATCATCAACATACCTAAAGTAATATAGTATATATCTATTACCTGTAATGTATTGAGTTTCAAAATAATCCATAAATATGTCTGCCATTAAAGGACTGAGAGGCGAACCCATTGCCGGGCCATCACATTGCAAGTAATATTGTCCGTTAAATATGAAGTAGTTTTGTTTCATGCAAAGAGATGTCAATTCTATCAACTCATTAACTTCCTCTGGATGTAGTCGTCGCCTTTCTGAGTGATCTTTAGGAATATTTAAAGTGTCAGTGTAGGGAACATTAGTGAACAAGTTGTCTACATCCAGAGAAAGTAATTTTGAGTTACGTATTTTGTCTTTGATCCTTTGTATTAAATCTAAACTATTCTTTAAACAAAAACGCGGTTTGAAAAAAGATTTTTCCCGAATAATGAAAAATATCTAGCTTTTTTAGATAATTCGTAAGTTGGAGCACCTATATATGAGACAATTGGGCGGATAGGAATATTTTGTTTGTGAATTTTTGGGAGACCGTAAAGAATTGGTGATTGTGGATTTATTGGTATCCTATTGGATTTTTGGTAGTCTGTTTCAAAAACAAACAAAGAATTTTTAACAATGGTTTTAAGGTCTTTAAAAACTTTAATTTGAAACTAATGCCTTAGTATCTACATCGTTGCTATTACGAACAACTGCGACCTCAGAATCCACAGCCAAATTTTCTAATGATTTTTTATTAATTTTACGGCGTAAATTTAAATTTAAATCATTGTTTAATAATTTGATCTCGTCTTCCAAAAACTCAACATTTGTAAGATTTTTTACACGAGTGTGGAAGGTGTGACAGATTGTTGATTGCGAGTTAGTGTTATTGAAGAAAGAATTAGATCTAGATTCCGTAAGCCTACGCAATTTGTTAGACTGGGTAAGAAACATTTTATGAGCCGCCTGTGACGCGAAGAATCTCGCCTTTTGGTCTAGAATATCAAATACAATATTATGTAATTTAAAAGATAGCTCTGAATAAAGTATTTTAAGATGTAATTTTAAACCATCTCTAACGGTAAACCAATGGCGAGATTCCTCGTTAAGCCATATTTTTTGTGCCCTATCGATTGCGATCCTAGCTGCCTTACTAGTGTTGTTACTACGTAAATGTATATAATTAGGTACAACATTTAAATGTTTACATTGTTGATTAAACCAAACATTCTGAACGGTTACGCGATGTTGTTTTGTTAGTTTGATGTAAAAATGTGCCTGGTAGGCTAAGCATGCCGTCTCTAAGTAATTAATAGATTCAGGCGTTACTTTGCGGAAGTCCATGTTAATAAAAATGGAAGTAAATTAATATGCTACTCCGCGAACCTAGTGAAGGTTAAATCGTGCAAAATAGCTGCGCTTGTGTTGAATATTTTTTCATGCTGTTAATTATCCCACCCTCGCTCCGCATGAAATTAATATTTTTTTTTTTTTTTTTTTTTTATACCTGACAGGCAAATGACTCCACTCCACCTGATGTTAAGTGGAAAGTGGTATCCAAACGCGAAGGAACCTAGTGCAGCGATGGAATCCTCACTGCACTAGCCGCCTCCACCCTGCCTGCCTACAATATGCCTCTTCACGCCTCGTTTGAAGGACCCCATATCATAAGAGGGAGGGAAGACATGTGCCGGGAGTTCCATTTGTCAACCGTGCGGCAGAGAAAGGAGCCACCGAACCTTTTAGTACGCGATGGAATGCGGCAGGTAGTGAAACGGTGACTACGAAGGCCAGCACGCGTGCTTCTGAGCAGGAACGGGGAAGGGGGGATGAGGTTGAACAGCTCCTCAGAGCACTCACCATGGTACATGCGGTAAAAGGCGCTAAGCGATGCAACATCTCTACGCAGTTGCAGACGTTCAAGCAGAAGTTCATAATAAAATAAATAACACAAGCGCAATTATAGTCATAAACCATCACCAAAAATATACCCGACACGTGTTTCGCCGGTCCACGAAGCACCCTCAGGGGCTGTTGTTTTTTTATATATACTGAAGAAAATATGAAACATATACATTACTCTTCGAACCATGGAATATATAACCAGAAATAGAGACGAAATGTCATTTAATTTGTTTGAAAATCATTCTGCCACATCATTACATCGATGTTTAAAACAATCCATGCTCACTTTTTACAATTTACAAAAGAGAGAAAAAAATATCCAAAAAATTTTATATGGCACAAGAAGCGTGAGATTCTGAAATTTACCAGTAGGTGTCTCTGTAATCGTTATAGTCATGTAAGGTTTTAACAAATACTGCTCAAATTTTTGCGCACATTACAAACTGAAAAACTGTACTCTGTGAAATAATAAGGATGCGGTTTTAAAGTGAGACGACGATGTAATTATTGGCACCATATAATAATGTTATAAGATGCTGCAATACGAATTACGGTACCTACTAACTAGAACAATTTAATAATACATAACGACTGTATAACAAAATATTACCAAATAACAAAACAAAAAATGCAAAGATTGGCACTACAATTTCAGTTATTGTCATTCAATAATCCTCAAAATTGACTATACAACGTAAAAGTGCACATTTGACCTCCATCTCACCTGAAGCAAACTGACTTTGTGATCTATAATGGAGCCTTGAAAAGGTTCAAGTTACAACACGTTCGGGGAATAAGTCTGCAGGCAGGGAATTCCACCCCATAACCGTTCGCCATATAAATGTGCAAGCGTAACGCTTCGGGCGGATCCTCGGAATAGCCACAACATAAGGATGAAACTCTAGCTTACGTCTATTATGTGGAATACCGATAAGTAGGCAACTTTACTTTAGTGTTCAAGGTTTAAATACAATAAGATCATTTAAATTTGGCGAAGTTACAGGCGCATGGAACTTGTCAACTTGTCGCAGGGTGACGGGCGCAGTAGCAAAGCCCGTCAGATCTTTGTGATCACGACTTGATCGTTCCGTCTCTTGGTTATAAAATAAAAGGTCAAGGAGCTGGATATGAATCCTGAGGAATGGAAGGGACGTTACCGCACTAATGCACATTAGTGCTTCGGGGCAGAAATAGGTAAGGTGGCAGTACTTCCTTGGACCACTTCTCTTTCACAAGCAACTCTACTGCTACTTAAAACCTCTTTAAAGCTGCTCATCTTGATCTTCTTTTTTGTTCTCTATACGCCATTCTTGGTCTTCATCTCTTTCTTTTCCTTTTTATCTTCCCCTCAAGTATCACTCTCACAAATTACTTAGTGATTACGCAACAAAATGTCCAAACCTTTTCACTCTTCTATTCTCTATGGTATTCAAAATATTTCTTTCTTCCTTAACCCTTTTCAAAACTTAGTTACCTACTTACCCTATTCAGTTAGTTTTTCTCATTTTTTAATCGTGTAACATTCAAAATCCTATTATGAATAGAAACACTGAAATTTTAAGTTCTTAATAATCGAATGGAAGCGAATTTCTGTAACGATCTTCGCGGAATTCTCGCACATGCTCGAGAATTCTCGCGCATTCCGCAGACAATTTTGTTTTGTATGTAGTTTGTAATTTTCACGATTAACCATAAATTAATTATGATATGTACAATGCCGTTACAAAAATTCGCTTCTATTCCATAAATTGAACCTTAGGCTAATCGTATTAAAACCTGTGGTTAAACTCACAATGTTACTAAAACTAGTAGATCGCTTATACCTCGAACAAGCAAAAACAGTATTGTGTCGCGCGCGCACGGCGTAGCTAGTCCAACCGCAACTCCCGCGCAGCTGTGCCACAATAATTCCTCGGAAAAAGTTTTGGAATTGTGCGTGATAATTCAAAGACATTCCTAGTGAAGATTTCTCAGTGAAAAAACCCCTGGATTTGTATATAGGTAAGTTTGTTATAGTTTGTCGTGAAAATATAATGTAAATTGATAATGGTTTTAATCGGTGTTTATTTTTAACCACTTCAGAAAAAGGAGGAGGTTCCCTCTACTGCTGTTTTATTTATTTTATATATGATATGCGATTACGCTGAAATTTATGAACCAATTTCGATGATTCTTTTTTGTTGGATAGGGGTGTCAGTAGATGTCAGTTTCTTCTCATTTACATGGGACCACCATTCAAATTTGATGAAAATATTCCAGCTCTAAAGATGGTAAATTTAGCGATGAATTCGGTTTATTGCATTGCACCCATTTCCCGTGAACCGATTTCAATAAAACTCGACAAATAAACTTTTGTTTTTTTTAAACGTTATAATTATTTATGGTGAAACTTCTAAAATTCAAGAAAAACTACAGAATTTAGAATTTTCTCAAACATTTAAAAGAATTCCTTCAATTCACTTACTTCCCGGTAACATATTTCAATAAAACTTAAATACATACAATTCCACGAACTTTTTTTTAAACTATAACTTTTATACGTAATAAACAAACTTTTTTTTTAAATAACCAACTTCAAAAACCACAAAATAGAGATTTAATCCAAACGACAACAATTGCATTTCGCTTTGTACACTATTATAATAACTTGTTGGTAACAGTAGAGCTCCTTGTCAAAGACTCCTTGTGAAGTTCGTTCAAGGTAGCACTGCCACCTTACCTTATTAATGCCGCCAAGCAGTTGGGGGGAGTGGGGTGAATACGGACGCGGGGTAATTTCAGACGCAATCATTTCTAGAAGCCTAGTTCCTCCTGCGCACCGCTATGGTGATCTTTCGATCACATCCACCATCGTTAGTGAATGGAAAGTTGTCAAAGAGAGAGGCCGCGCACGCGTTTCAAAATAAGTGCTAAAGACGTTTTTCATGTGTTTTGATGTAATTTTACTTTATTTTTAGTGCCGTGTATACGCTGTTATGTGAGAATTAATGAAATGTTACGTTTGTCATAAATATTTATAAGATACATCTTCGAAACTGTAAGAATATGAAAATCGTACATGCTAGCATAACATTAGAAATATTATGCAATTAAATAAATTACGATTGGGGCAATTACAGACTTGGGACTTGGGGCAAATCCAGACGTCCGTAATAACCCCAATTAAAGTTTTAAATACATTAATCTAACGATCACTTTCCGCATTTACCCAACATACACCGGGTAATTACGGACAGAAAGCCTTTAGTTTTTCTTTTAAATTGTATATTTGTTAATTATTTAAAGATAAAAGATTATAGTAATTTTGTAAGGTTTAATTATTATAAAAAATATAACTACTGATTAACGCTGATAATATGATTTTTATTTCGATATTCGCTTAGGTGTCCGCAATTCCCCCTCTCTCCCCTAGTGTCAACATTATCGTGTTCCGGTTTTGAAGGATGCTGGGGAAATTACAGGCAAATGGGACTTGTCAACTTATGTCTCAGGGTGACGGGCGCGGTGGTAGTGCCCCTCAGATCTTTGCAACCTAAAGCTCTGAGTGGCACTGTAACTGTTATGGACAGGCGTGTAGCTTACCATCAGGCGCACGACTTGTTCGTCCCGTCACTAGATATTATAAAAAAAAAACTTATTAACCAATCTATCTACCGGCCGTTCACACATTCGGCGTTCTCAGCCTAATTACCGTAGCCATTTCGGCGTCCTCAGCCTTATTACCGTAGCCATTGTTTTTTCTCCCTTATTGTACCTAATAACATTGAAGTTGAACTACTTTAAGGTTAACTGTCAATATGTCTTAATGGCATTGGAATAGACAAAGTAGTTTACGAGTTATTAAGAAACAAACATTTTATAGAAACGGTAATTAGATCTAATTACCGTAGCAGGGATAAAGCTAACATTTTAAAAACGGCATTTGTATCAGTAGAAATAAAACAAATGTAGCAAAATATACAAATAATAATTCAGCTGTGTCAGAAATAGTCGGTTTTTGTTCAAATTGTTTGAACATTCTAATTACCGTAGCGGTGGATTTAATTGCCGTTTCCATAAAATATTTATTTCTTAATAATTCAAAAATCTACTTTGTCTATTCTAATGCCATTTAGCCTTATTGATAATTAAACTTAAAGTTGTTCATAATTCAATGTTATTGGGTATAATCAAGCGAGAAAAAACAATGGCTACGGTAATTAGGCTGAGGACGCCGAATGTGTAAGAATGGCCGCTACATTTAATTATTATAGTAAAATATTATTATTGGTATTTGCTACCTAAGTGAAGTTTTATTTTACCACTAAAAAAATATTGGCACTCAAATATTTACAATATCAAATTAGGAAATGAAACTATTTTTCCGGATTTAAATCGCGTATATTTGTTTTTTTCAAACAAACCGACGTTTCGGGCCCTTTACAGGTCCCATGGTCACGATTGACTGAGGTGGTACAGTCTTCAACCAGTTATGTCTAATATTTTTTCACTATAGTTACAATAGTTATTAATTAAATACCTTATTTTTAATTTTACAAAGAAAACATTCCAATTGACGCTACATTAAGTTTTACAAATTATTTTATTGAATGAATTTTTATTTTGTTTAATTTATTATTAATTATTAATAGAAATTAGAATAAACTAAAACATATTAATTAGTACTACAGTCTTTTAATTTCAATGGCCTCTCGCAGCATCCTGGGTAGATAACGGGCTTCTTTTGCAAGGACCTGGAGTTTGTCAAACTTCATTGAATGTGTAGGTTTATCCATGACATGCTCGCAGACTGCAGACTTGTTTACGCGACTGTGATCGACATTAGCTATATGTTTTCGATTTAAATCCGGAAAAATAGTTTCATTTCCTATGTGTAACAATCGCGAAAACCTAAGAACTCGATAATATCAAATTAGTTATTTTTGGAGTCGATGCCAGTCGAGGAAATAAAACAAATCTTTAATGGATTCTAATGCTATGCAGTAAATTGCCATGGCCGGTACCGACTCCAAAACTAACTAATTAGATATTGTAAATATTTAAGTACCAATATAATATATGGCCTCATTTGTGACACGTAATGAAACATATGACAAAAACATATTTAGAGGATTGAGGTATTTGCGTGATTGTTCATATTATTGAAACATCTGGTGTTTTTCTGGACGTTCATTTGAGAGTCGCGTACAATTACAGCAATATTGTTCATTATATTAAATACATTATGAACGTTATTGACCAACTTCAACAAAGGAGGAGGTACTCAATTCGTCTGAATCTTATTTTTGTGTGTATGTTACGTAATTACTGCGATAATTGTAACCGATTTCTAAATACCGAGCTATGGCTTTAATTTTTTGTAAAAACAAAAAACACATTAACTAAAACCTTTTTAAACACAACGTTTATTAGCACACAAGATACTAGTTCACTTTATTTCACTGGTTAATTTAATCTACACATAAAATAACTATTGTTTTAAAGTAATTTAACTACTTTTTATGCCGCCCGTTTCGATACGAAAGTTTGTTATTAAACACACTCGTTTTTTTTTTAATTTATTAAGGCTTTGGCAAAGCCATCAGCCTAAACATGAAGTTTAATTATGTGTCTGTAAATATGGCCGCCACAAAGTGGATAGGCAATTTGAGGCGGCGTGCTTAGATTGACTCGGGATTCCTTAAAGTTTTAGTTCGAGATTCGTATAATTTCGCGTTTTAATCTTCGATTAAGGCACAATAGCACTATCCTATTCCACTTTAAACTAGATTTCACAAAATAATTGAAAGTCAAAATAAAAACGACACTTTTCCCTCCAAAAGGTCCAGACCGAATCATTAAACACACTCGTGAATGTTAAGTGTTGCTATTTTCATAACCTACAAATTATCATGAATTTCTTTACGTAGCACTATTAAAAGGAAACACCCAAAACAGATATAGATACATAAGTAACACTGTTTATCGTTAAGATTTACAAAATATAAATTAACCATTTGTAATAATTTGTTATCACAACATTTTTGTCACATTATTTTAAGAATATTTTACAACTGGCAACGATTATGACATTAAAACAAATCAGTTTTAAAAAAACTGTAATTGGTTGGAATAAGCTATTCGCTATTCGATTATAACCAGATTTATTCCGACTTGTCGGCCGCCATTTCTTTATTTTAATGGGAGCACGTATATTTCATGAATGAAAAGAAGCCGCAGACCGTATCTCGCGTTGATTGGTTGAGATATATCGGGACAGGTTATCACGCATTTATTAATGAATATTTTGAATATAAGTTTTTAAGAGTTCGGGTAAGCCCGCTGTCTAGTACCTACAATCTTTTGGTAATAAGACGGTGGGAATCGAGTTATACGGACTCCTCGCCACTGCTATCGAGAGACTGAAATATATTTAATAACTAAAGTAACGAATAGCTCAGGTATTTAAGTAAAATTTTTTATTGACATGTTTCGAACCAGTCCGTGGTCCTTAATCACGAGATTCCGCAGCGGGCGGTGACTCGACGAAACTTGGCATACGTGAGTTATCTGTTAGTTTAATTAATATGCCTCTTTTCTTTAAAAAAAAAGGGTGAAGGGTTTGAAACGAGTTTCATATTTGAAGAAAATATTGTGCCTCTAGCGCACTATGTCCGACCATGTAGTAGACCTCCAGATGTGAATCTGGAGGTCTACTACAAAGACTTGTAGGTTTCATTACACCGATTTTTTTTATAATAAACGAGGTATTGCAACTAAAAACAAACGCACGAAACTTAGAGATTGTTTAGAACCCTCGACCCCTCAAGAGAGAGGAAACCATTCCCCCACTAGGCTACAACGCTCTTTATTATTATTATTTATAAAATATAAGTGCGTATTTGACCTCCATTTTACCTGATGGAAAGTGACGATGTGGTCGACGATGGAGCATGCACATTAAAATAATGCCTATTCACTCTCGACTTGAAAAGGTCCAAGTTATAACGTTCGGGGAACGA